ATGAACAGTACGTGCGAGTAAAAGCATATAGATAAACAGGCGTACTGTTGTGAAGAAAATAACAGTAATTGCCGCGAAAATCACATAATTATATGTATATGTAACGCTCAATTAAAATGAAGCATGAAACACATAGTCAAAACGATGCACTAAAAAAGGTATTCATGTAGAAGTATCAATACAAGAGCCAACACATGCACATCATACAAAACGGAAAAGGAAGAAAAAATACTGTGCCATAGATACGAAGATTGTCAATGCTTGTTGGAATATGCTGAACCATACTGGCTGGATGCATTAGTGGGGTCATCGTTGACGATTTTGCTTTGCATTGTAGTGGTAACATAAGTTGGGGTGCCCTTCCAGTGTTCCACATACGTGCTGCTGTTGACGTGCCTGAGTATTGCTCTTGCATAAAACGTGCGTTCAGTCTGGCGAATTGCGCGGCCAAGATACTGCTGGGGCGCTGAAGTATCATCATCCATTGTTATCCCGCTCGTAAACGCAGGCATCGGCAACTGCCTCAATGTACTGCTCCGTCACGATCGGTATATGCAAAATGGCCGTCTGCGTATACCGCATCCATACATCACTCTGCAACAAAAGGTTAAGATCTCCCACCACTACCAAACCATTCTTAGCGCGGGACAACGCCACAGTGATGCGTGGCGGGTCTAAGAAGAACGCACAATTTTCGTCCAAGTTCTCTTTTACCATACCACGTTTGCACACCAAAATGATAAGTTTGGCTTCTTGATCCTGAAACTGATCAACAGTACATACACTACAGCCGGTGCTTTGTAATTCCACATCTAAAACTCTCTTTTTGCCACTGCAAAAACAAGGAACTGCAAGTGACACAGCCTTTTGGTTCAAAATCACATGAACTAGGGTGGACACCAAACGCTCATGCACAGCGTTGGTACGGGAAAGTTTTAAGCCAAATTCATCTTCACTGGCATGATGTCGTAGAACCAATGGGACACCTATCGCCGATTATGGGATGCCCAGTTTTGTGAACGCTGTGCGATCATGGTCACTGACAGCAGCCTTTAAGTTACATGTATAAGCCACCTCAGACAAGCGCCGAGTAAGGAAAGGATACGCGCGATGGCTAAGCGTCAGCTGATATGTAGGAATTATGGCCCTGTCAATAATGGAATGTATGGCACCACGAGCACCATATCGTAACAGAGCATCAGGGATAAGCGCGGTATGGCGAAAGCTGTTTTACATCGCCTGTTAGAAATACCTGACACAACTGTGGAAAGCCTGCGCTCAGTGCGAGAAGCTGGCTTTCTGGAACAGTCCCTGCTTCATCAATAATGAGGTGGGTGACGCTGTCCTGGAGTCTGACAATGCTCCCTCAACCAAAGCTAGAGTTTCCGCTAGCAACCGTGCGGATGGCCTCCTAAAGCGATACATAGTGCCCGGGGATCACTGGCCTTAAGACCCTTATGGGGAAGGCGGCGCCAAAGATAGTGCCATACAAAATTTCGCTCGTCGTGTATCATGCGTCTAGCTTTCCAGTGCCGATGTAGTTCTTCGGGTAGCCTGGATTCAGTCCGTCGGTTCGGGTCCTGATCATCCTGATGAGATCCAGTGTGTTTGATAAACAGCGGTACAGCGTAGTTTGAGAAAGGGCGACTGAGAATAAAACAGTTAAATACAGACAGAATAATTGAAGTAGTGTTAAAAAAAATTGTAATAGTATTCATATAATTGTATCTACATATAAGCGCTAGTGGAAATTGTTAAATGCTTACTCGACAAAGTAGGGATAATCAAGGACATTGTCAAGAGATAGTGCAAACGCATTACCCAAATCAACAAGGGCATTGTAAAGAGGTAATGAAAGCACATTACCTAATCAATAAGAGCCCGTAAGAGTAGTACATAGGGACAAAGAAGTCAGAAAAGAAATACCGATGAAGCACAATAACAATTGGTGGTGTCTTACATTACAATACAATCAAATACAATACAAATTACAATCGCAGTTTTTTATATATTCGATTGGTATTCATGTCTTCCGTTTAAGGAAAAAAATATCAAATTGCAAGCATCGGGCAATGAGGACGGAGGCACAGAGAACTTCGTAAAATATAAAGTTCATTTGCGAACATAGATGGTTCCCGAGAATTCTGCCCTAAATTACGAATTTAAGAACCAGACTGTATACTTCTCACAAAGGATTGGACTCCCAACTCACGAAAGGAGCATTTCTAACGGAGTTGTAGCGACAGCAGCTGCTGTTGTATTCCGGAACAATTTGGCCTTAGGGTATAAGGAGAGAAGCACTACAAAAAAGCAACTAATAATGTCGTAAGAACGCATTGGTCCGGTGAAAATCTTTCCCAAAGTTCATGAACTTGCGCTCATTGATCATTCGGAAAGATTTCGACGAGATGCCAGCCTGTAATTTTGAGAAGCGGAGAGAGTGCTGAACTCTGTAGCAATGTGAATCGCAGGAATGTTGACTTGCTGTACAGAGAAAGGGGGATAATATTGAATTTTGAAACAGTGAGAAACCGCAGGGACATTGTTTCGCAATGTAGAGAAGGGGAAATAGTATTGAATTGTGATGCAGTGGGAAAGCGCAGGGTTATTCATTCAGAATTCAGAGAAAGGGAAGGGGAAGTGAATTCTGAAGCTACAAGAACTTGCAGAGCTGCTGATTCAGAATTCAGAGTAAGGGGAGGATAAGTGAATTCTGAAGCTACGAGGACTCGCAGGATTGTTGATTCAGAATTCAGAGTAAGAGGAAGATAAGTGAATTCAGAAGCTATGAGGACTCGCAGGAACACTGATTCAGAATTCAGAGAAAGGGGAAGAGAAGTGAATTCTGAAGCTATGAGGAATCGCAGGGCTGTTGATTCAGAATTCAGAGTAAGGGAAAGGGAAGTGAATTCTGAAGCTGTGTGGACTAGCGGGGCTGTCGGCCAAAGAACCTCAAAGTCCGTTCCTTAGGACCACCCAGGTGCTCGCATAGGGGCACCTGAAAATTTTGGCCGGAATTTTCCCCGATATGCTGCACTTGCGGAACAGTGCTGAACTCAGCGCTATTCAACTGCTTCGCATAACCTAGCGAGTGCGAGCCAATACTTGTTGCCTTGCTGGGGTTACTGTAACCGTCCTGTCTGGAACTGCACCGCTGCAAATTATTAACCTTTTGGCTTATTCAGTGTGAGTTGAGATCCGGCTTAGCCGCTAGTTTCATACCGAATCCAGACCGGTTCAAGAAAGCTTGTTAATGAAGTATACGTGCCATACTTTACTTCGAAGTTACTTAAAATGAGATCCAGAGTTGTGTTTGCACCTGTTGTTGGCACACTGAAATTCTGAATCATTAGTCCCAACCGTTCTATCATTTCTTTGAAAGTTTGATCATGACCTTCGCTTATATCGCGATTAAAGTCTCCCACTACAAGCTTTCGGCCATGTTCCGCACATATGTTTGCCAAGAAAAGCCGGATGCTGTCGTCCGTGACTCCTGGGCTAGCATATACGCTAGCGATGAGAACGTTGTCCAGTCTGAACAGCGCTGCATAAAATCCACTCCCACTTTCATCGTTTGTTACGCTGCCGACATCTCGCACTTTTTCTAACACTTTCTCCGACACTAGGCAACATGCTCCTCCAGCCGTTCTGTAAGTTCCAGTGCAGTCACTTCGTGACAATGTTTGAAACCCGCCAACAACAATTCGATCACCTGGCAATGTCCAAGTATCACCCAGTAATATTGTGTCGCTGGATATGAAAACTTCATCTTTCGCAATCTGTTGACTGTGCTTTGCAAAGCTTTGAACGTTGTGGTAGATAATTTGAATACCGCTGCGTGTGAAACGCAAAAATTTGAACCTTGGTAGTAATGCGCAGTACTCCTGTCGCCTTAGCTTCGCTGTCAGTGGATCGCTGTTCTACGGCCCACGAGGAGGCTGGAACGACCCAGTGATGAAGAGGCCGGAAAGTGAAGTAACTCGTGTAAGTGCAACATAGAGCAGGTAGCGCGTCATTCTTGCTGTAAGGTGAACGACAACGGATGGATACGTTTGACCTTGACTCTTATGTATCGTCACTGCTTCCGCGGGTACCAATGGAAATTGCTTCCGGAGTAATTGTAAATTTGACGATTTATTTCGCTTGATTGGTGCTACTGTGGGTTCCAGCGGGGTTCAATTTGGGGGTAACTGTAAGTGGTTAATGATAGGGCTATATCGCCTTCGCGCACTGCTTCCAACTTCTGGTTCATCGAAAGCGATCCAAACTCGCAACGGTTTTCCGAATCAGTTTGTCGATTTCGCTCTGGATGTTGGGAACCCATATCAATTCTGACCAGTTGGCCTGTTACACCGTTTGTCAGGCCGTCGCTTGTATCCAAATTGTAAGTGATCATGTATCGGCCTCCGACTTTCAAATACAATGTTCGAGGCAAACTCATTGTTTGATACGCTGTCACCCGTCCGTTGTTTACACTCACAAGTATACTTCTTTTTGCAGCCGCCGATCCGTCGCCTACTACGCGGTCAGAAGCTTCGCATACAGCTCCGCGTCCGGGCAACCTTCTCAACACCTTTTCATTCCACTGGTCCACTTCCACATTCCTGAGAAACAAAAAAACAGGTCTGCAACTGAGGGCTTCTTGTGGAACTTCCGAGAAAGTGCGAGAATAAAAAAGCGCTGAATCTGCTGCTGTAAGTTGTCCATGCGCCAGATTTGTTAACGCCTGCTTGAACTCGAGCTCATTTTGTCGCATTACTGTGTGAAGTGTGTAAACTTGGAATAATTGTCATAATGGTCTTCCAAACGCTTCCACATATGCATTACGAGATGTACTCCCGTATACCGGTGCTGCCATCACCGGCCGCAATTGGTGGAAATCGCCAACCGCAATAACACTTTTACCTCCAAAATTTACGTCCCCGAACAAGTGACGTAGACGCATACCCACCATGCGCAGCATAGGCTTCCCCACCATAGATATTTCGTCTATAATGATAGCTTGCAAGCACTGTAATCTGGTAGCCATTGTGTTTGAAACTTCCGCGGAAAGCTCACTAAGGGTGTTGGAGTTGACTGGGAGTTGGAATAGCGTGTACAGTGTTCTTTGATACTGAATGCTGCTTTCCCTGTCGGAGCGGCAAGCAGAACAGACGGGAAATCCGGATTGAGTTCCAAACGTCGCGAGAATATTCGGGGCAGAACTTGGTATATTGCGCGAATCAGAACACTTTTTCCTACTCCTGCTCCACCGGTTATAAAGTGATATATTGGTTCGCTGCTGCGCTTGTAATGCGCTGCAATGTGCGTTATATAGTCTTTCTGCTCAGTATTCAACGAGCTGAGCATATTTTCAAATTCTGTCTGGGACACTTGATTTGGCAGCTGGAAACTCTCCGCGCATTGAATTCGCTCATACTCCCCATCTTCAACATGAACCACTTCTTGCTCATCGAGGTAATAGTTGTCAAAGTCAAATGTGGGTGCAGCTGGATCCGTCTCTGTCTCCATTTCCCTAGCTTGCGCATCGTTCTGCGCTTGCTCCATGGCATCCTCCAATACACTGTTTGTGAAATAGTGGTACTTCTTCCTATTTTGCATTATTTCTTCACGATGCCTACTGAACAACGCTTCGCAATCGGCATTTACAACCTCCTCTTCTTCATTTCGCCAGGGGTGATAGAGCACCACCAGCTCTCTATAGAACTGCTGTGGCTCAGTTTGGACACTGTATATCAGATAGCGAATGACTTTTGGTTTCAACCGTTTTCTGACGTATCCTGCGCGATCCATCAATTCAATGTAGTGTTCATTTACGGGAACGTCATCAGTTTCATCACTGCTGTCTGCATCTTCATCAACCGCTGCGGCAGGTTGTCGAGCTGCTCGTGGTCGGGTTCTGTAGAAGTTGTAGCATGCGGCGAAATCAGCGAGTGACATTCCTCCCAATTCAACCGCTCGTTTCGTATGGTGGTCGATTATGCCATGTACGAAACAGTCATCAGAAGCTGAGTCGAATGTGTGGAGCTCCTGCTGCGGCTTCACAACTCTTACTCGCTCATCTGGCAGTGAAGTTTGTATGAATATGACCTTTTCGGAGCACTGCGACATTGGAATTTGAAGAATATTGTAACTTGCTTCTTGAGCTGAAAGCTCTGTGATATTA